GTTGCTGTATGTGGGACGCAGCCTCAGCATGGCCGGAGAAGCGGTGCGTCGGTGCGCGCCCGGGATCCGAACCCGGGCCGCCAGTAGCGGATCGTGTGCACTTTACCACTAAGCCACGGGGCCGGCCCAGTACCCAGGTTTTTAGACCAACTCTCTTCTTAGTGAAATCCACTGCTTGATCATACATTGCAATTAAGGATGCAGTTGATCAGCTTCTAATGCGTGTTAGCCAGCTTTTCTCTCGGCAAGTTTGCGCTGGACAATTAGGGCAGTATTGTTGGTTCTTGTAATGCGAATATTATTCTCCAGAGGGCTGTGAACACTGGCCTTGTAAGTCAAATTGAGAAGGCACGAATGCTTCTGAAGTTAAGCTTATATTTCCTTCACTCCTTTGAATAAATTTTTCAGTAAATGACGTAGATAGAAAATAGAAAGATGCCACACATGGTACTATCTACAAGTCCTGTGCTGATAGCCAGGGGCTTCCCGATTCTCTGGTCTGTTGTGCCTTATGTAACTTGTTGAATTTGAGAACAGTCTTCGTGTTTGCAGTATCCGGTCCTGAGAACAGATGAGGGATGAAGCTTAGTGAACTGGTGATTGGCAGCCTCCTCCTAAGAGACCAATGTAGGTGAGCTTTTGATGCCCCGGAGAATTTTTTTCCCTGTCACTGTGTGCTCCTGTTGACAGTGGTGGCTTTTTAAAATCATGTTTGTTTTAATCGGCAAGCAAATATTTGAAAAAAGAAAGAAACAGAGAGGGAACAATATCTGTGAGAGCCTGAGGTAGCATTCAAGTTATCTGAAAAACTATCAGCAAAAAAATTAAGATTTATTCACTTAGGCATAGAAATCTCATTTCTGTCTGCCACATACAGAGAAATGAAACTAATTTTAATACATATCTGTAAGTTTGAGTATTGCCTGGTTTTCCACTGATAAAAATTACTTTCTTCATTTATCTCCCAGAGAACTGTTCATCAGAAATATTTTTACCCAACTTACTTTTATTTCTGTGTAGTCATTAGTTGGATGTAGCAGAAGAAACATGAGGGCAAAAAGGAATCGTGGGTACGGCACTTACCTGTTTGACGTGAGGTTGCTGATCACAGCCAGTATTTCAGACGCTTGCTGCTCTCTCTCTCTAATTGAAGGGTCTGTGGGCCCCATAAAAAATGCTCTTCCTCTTCACCTGGTGTGATTTGCTTCTGAGCCAGCTTTTGCATATTGCAGCCATCATCACTTCTCCAGCGTAGTAATAGCACATTTTCTCAGTGCTCTAATTTTTCTGCATCTTTCTTACAATGAAGTGTTCCTGTCCTTAGTCTGTGTTATATATTTTTCCATTAGGATCCAGTTTGGAAGTTATTCTCTCTCCTTCATTCAGTCACTATACATTTTTACTTTAAATAAGTTTTCTTTTGGAAAAAACACAGTTTTGAATGTTTCTTTGACTCTTAAATCTTCTGTGCCTTACCCTTTACTTAAAGTTCTCACCTGTGTTGTGATTTTCACCCGTCTCTCCCTTCCCAGACCCCAAAGGCAAGTTCTTACCTGGTATAAAATCTAGTTGATGAAGGTTCAGTCCTTAGTTCTAGTTCCAGTCCAAACTAATTGGGATTTCTTTTGGTAAATGTAGTATGTTTGGGTAATATGCCAAAAACATAGCATGTAAACCACAGCTGCTAATCTTTATCTGTTTACCTACCTCCCCTTTTCCTCCCTCCTTCTCTCTTCCTTTCTCTCCCCCTCCTTCCCTCTTGCTACTTCTCTCTCTCAATTTATTAAACTTTAACTAAGAAAGGGAAAGGAGGGGCCGGCCCCGTGGCTTAGCAGTTAAGTGCACGTGATCCGCAACTGGTGGCCGGGGTTCGGATCCCGGGCACGCACCGACGCACCGCTTGTCCGGCCATGCTGAGGCAGCATCCCACATACAGCAACTAGAAGGATGTGCAACTATGACATACAACTATCTACTGGGGCTTTGGGGAAAAAAAAAGGAGGAGGATTGGCAATAGATGTTAGCTCAGAGCCGGTCTTCCTCAGCAAAAAGAGGAGGATTGGCTTGGATGTTAGCTCAGGGCTGATCTTCCTCACAAAAAAAGAAAGAAAGGGAAAGGAACCAAGTAACATTTTGCCAGTTAAACCTGCTAGTGAAAAATTAAAGACACCTGGAAATTGATGGCATTGTTTGCTTGAAGCAAAGTATTATTTATTGGCTTGACTACATAATCTTTACAGTCTTTCCAACTCTGGAATTCGAACTTTTAGAATATATATAGTTGTGAAAAAGTACAAAAAGGCTAAAGTTAGAAACTATTTTTAATTAGAACACCTGAAAGTAACATATTAAGTTTTTTGTTTAATTTCTTTCTAAACACTAAATAGCTATGAGTTTTCTCATTATATTTTGACATAGATTCACTTTTCCTCCAGTATCAGGAGCAATACTTGTTTTATCTGTCCATCATCTGACTCTCCCAGTTAGGATATAAGTAAGATTCATGAAGGTAGAGATTTTTTTGTTTTTTTGCTACACTCCACTGCCTAGAACAAAAAACTGTAAGCACTCAGTAAATAGTTGTTGTATAAAATAATTTATTAACTATTTTGTAATGGACCTCAGAAAACTCCTATGTAAGCACATCTTCATTCCTTTTTCTATCCAAAGCACCCAAGTCCAGGCAACCCTCTAAAAAGTAGAGAGAGAAAAGCAACTACCCTGTATTCCCAGAGATTTGTTGTAGTGTAATTCTGTTTATGGCTTAGAAAATGCCCTTTTTAGGGAGACAGGTAGTAGTCCTATTTTTCAGATCTAGAAAACCAAAGCCTATCTTAATGGCTTTCTAAATTGATGCAGCAAATTATTGGTAGAACTGGTATTAAAATTTGCCTCTGACTTCGTTTTTTTTCCTGCTAGACGAACCCTAGCAGATTTTTTGCTGTTGTTTCAGGTCTGCTTGGGTTCTCTCAACCCGACCTGTTCTCTCCTTTCCTTTCTCCCTGCTAATTCCCCACCCTCAACCCCAGAGAAAACTGGAGCTCGCCAACCTCACTTTATTTTTTTATTTATTTTTTTGTGTGTGTGAGGAAGATCAGCCCTGTGCTAACATCTGCCAATCCTCCTCTTTTTGCTGAGGAAGACTGGCCCTGGGCTAACATCTGTGCCCATCTTCCTCCACTTTATATGGGATGCCACCACAGCATGGCTTCCAAGCGGTGCGTCAGTGCGCGCCCGGAATCCGAACTGGCGAACCCCGGGCCGCTGCAACAGAGTGCGCGCGCTTAACCGCTAGCGCCACCGGGCCGGCCCCCTCACCAACCTCACTTTACATAAGTCTGTGACTAAAGAAATAGGAGAAATACTGCACTTAAGGTATATCTTAACTCATAGAAAAATTATTGTGAAACAGTTCTATTTTAGAGACACTAGTCAAAATGCTTTTTATTGGTTAAAGACAAAATTCTTCATTTTGCCCTTCCTTGTGAAAAATCAGACTGACATAAAGATACCAAGATAGAAAATAAAACAATTATACCTAATAAGTGCCACTCTGAGACTACTTAGCTATTTTTAATTTCTATTTTTACTTTAATAATTATAATACGACGTTTGACTTCTGTTGCCATCTATTCCTTTTGATAAAAACACAGCCATCTCTTTCGTGTCCCTTTGCAGGCGGGGGTTCATGTTGACACTGTTACTGCCTTGGTGGCACAGTTTCTTTTTTTTCTCTTAAGAATGTACCATAGAATGATGTGTTGTTTCTTCCCTATTTCTGTATCTGTAACTTTTTTTCTAAGAGGAAGTTGAAATGCTTTAAAATACATACTCATTGGTGATGCACAGTAAGCCTTACCTTCTGCCAGATGCTGGTGGTGTATGTGTAATACCTCTGAGAGTAGATCTCTCAGCCTCCAAACCAGACTAGACCGACAGCACCTCTCTTTGCAAAATAGACAACTACAGTTTTTCCAATTACAATTACAGAATTAATTACAGAAAATGTATGTCTCCTGTTGTTTGTACTGGTCCCTGATACTTTGGGTATCGCTTTCTCCAACACTCAGTGTCTCCAGTTCTCTGTCTCCTGGGACTTCCCCCTCCATTCCCCTGTCCCTTAATCATTCTCACTGCTGCCCCGATGAACTGATCTCTGGTGATGTAGTCATGGGTTAGAAGGTACTATATTTACTAGTTAATAGAACTGAGAGGTTGGATGGAAAAATATTGGACTAAAACAAAACTTTGTAAGAATTTAGGGTAAAGCATTGCTGATTTGAAGCATCTTTTTGATATTAACTCTGTGGAGGTGGAGAGGGGGTAGTGCTTTTAGCTTCCTAATAAAGGGGTTGCTCACTGTATTCTAGTAGACCTTAAAAAGAGCAATATATTTTACCACAATAAAAAAGGGGGAGGGTTAGAAATATACACACACAAAAGAGCAACAGGTGGAGGAGGGGGCCCAAGTTGGGAGAAGAGCAAAAGACCAATTAGAGAAGGAAAAAGTAGGTAGTAGAGACCAGAACTCTCGTGAGGGTGGGGTCATATCTGCCTTGCTCTCTGGTGTATTCCTAGTGTCGTGTAGCAGGAACTCAGTACATGTTGGTGAGTGAATGAGAGGGTAAGATGCAGAAGATAAGGTGAACAGGACAGAAGTTCAGGAAAGGGGGTTATTCTTTAAATTTCTATCCTAATAAATAAACCTGATATTTGGGAAAGATGCTGTTCATTTTCTCTTCCTCTGAGTTCCTTAGCTTCTGGCACTGGAAAGATTGGGTCCTGTACAATAACATAGCACTATGGTCTTACCCATAATATCAGATGTGTCTGAGTAAAGTATTTCTGCTGCCAAATATTCATTAATACCTATCTGGAAAGTAATAGTGAGCCTTTGAGATGCCTCATTATTTGAAGGACTTAAATAAAGCATGTGGGTGAAAGATTGATTTTGAAGTCATCCTTATCTATGTGTGACTTTCTTCTGTTCCCTTTTTTAGGTGGCATCCTTAGCTGGGCCTGGAGGGCAAGTGGAAATAGAACAGAACTTTCTTAATAATAAACTGAAGACAATCACTGCTTATTTTGGGGACCTGATCCGAAGATCAGCCCCTGAATCATCACTGTGAGGTGGTATAAAGACAAAAAGATCATGTAGTGGTCAGAACATTATTCAGACGAGACACTGGGAATCTCTCTTCTGTATTCACTGACATTTTGTACCCATTGTCTTCTATCACCATATGAAATTGAAACTTACAGGAGATTAATGACTGTTAATGATGTCCTTTGAGATCTTGGGATAATTTTAGCTATGTTAGGATAGTAAGTGTCTGATATGGAAAAGGTAGTCTTTCCTCTGTGCTTAACGTCCATCAGTGTATGTGTGTGTTATGTATGTGCATGTGGCTGTATTTTTTTTAATTTTGTATGTTTTGGTTTAACACCTTTGTGTGTGTGTGTAAAAAACAATTATTGTGTTTTTTTAATACAGAGAAATATAAAGAAAACAGCGAATGAGTTAAAGTCTAGCCACCCATTTAACCCCTGCTGAAATAAATAATGTTATACTTTTAAGGGTAGAAACATAAACAGTACAGAATGTACAAAATGAAAAGTACAATCTCCCACTGCCTTCCCCTGCCCTTTCTTCATCTGTCTGAAGATAACCACAGCCATCAGTGTTTTATAATTCCTTGGGAGGACAGAAAGGAATTGCAATGTACCGTGATACACTTTTTCCCCCTCGTCATTGCACTCTTCAGTACCCGCTTCCTTTTTTCTTTTACTTAATGTATCTTTTTTTTTAAGTATATACTTTTTTGCTGGTATATCTTGAAGACCTTTCCACATTAGTGCGTACGTACAGATCTACCTCATTCCTTTTAATGGCCATCTTGTATTTCATCTTCTAGATACACCATAATTAATTTAACCAGTTCCCTATTGATGGACACTGGGCTGTTGGGGGTATTTTGCAATTATCAACTCTTCTGTGCTCTGATTAGAGTGCGTGTTTCCCTCTACCCTCCCCAGCTCTCCATCATCAAGCATTTTAATTTTTGCTATCATGTGCAAGAAAAATGGTATCTGATTGTTTGTGTTTCCTTAATTATGAATGAGATTTGAGCATATTTCCATATATTGTGGTCTTTTTAAAATAGTTTTCCCCTTTTAAACTGACTATTCCTGTCTTGGATCAATTTTTCTTTTGGATTGTTACCTTTTTCTTATTAATATGTATGAATTCTTTGTAACTTGAACATCCCTTTGTCTTTAGTAGGTGTTGCAAATATGTTTTTCCAGTTGCTTGTTGGCCTTTAGACTTATTTTGTAAAGTGATTTTTTTTTTTTGTCACACGTAAGTTTTTAATTTTTATGTACTCAGACTTAGCAGTCTTTTTTCTTTGTTGCTTCTTCTGGGTTTACATCCTCTTGAAAGATCTTTTCCACTCCCAGGATATAAATATATTTATCCAAGCTTTTTTCTAGAACTTTCTTGTTTTCATGTCTTTGTTCCATCTGGAATTTGCTTTTTAACATTCTTTTATAAAGTTAGCATTTTTAAAATTTCCATTGCAAAAACAATATGAAATATATTTTGTAATATAGGAGTTTATATTCTTTTTCTATTAAAATGGCAATGAAAGGAGGAAGAATATGTGTTGCTTATTCATTCATCTAAAAAGTGTGTTCAGTAATTTTTACAAGTAGGTAAAAAGACAAGAGACAGAGGACTCTGGCTTTGGGGGATCTGGGACCTTTATCTTTTAACAATGTGAGCATGTTAAACATTAAACAAAACATGGTGTTGGCTGGGATGGAGCTGGGGAAATTGAAATAAATTGGGGGAATTTTTACAGTAAGTACTGGAAAAAATAATTATTCAATAAAAAGCAGCTTTGTGGGAGAGTGGAGACAATGCTCACTTTCGTCTCTGGAAACTTGACACTGTGTGCCTGATTGCCCTGATACAGTAGCAGTTGAGCTGATCATTGAGGATTGAATTAACTTTTTATTAATTTGCAACATCAAAATCTGTCATGTTGTCAGTTTTCATACTTTTTCATCATGGAGCATTAGTGTATATATCATAAACTTGTCACCATGTTTTAAAAAACGGCAGCATTGGTCACGAACAGTTCTGTATGTGGCCCCTGGAACTACTTGGCCACTTGGGGTGGGAGGTGGAGAGGTAAAAGCAGATTTCCAAAATCACCAGTTATTTTTAGTTCTTGTCACTTCACCTTTCATGCATACATTTTTTCCACAATACATTTTCTTATTTGTATATTGTTAGTATAAAAACTAATTTGTCTTCCTGAGCATACATGACCTGTGAGACAAGACCAGGAAGCCTCACCAAGATTAAAATAGTCCTGCCCACTAATCACACGCAGATAACTGACTTATAGACTCATTTGTAGATCGTTAGTGCTCAAAAGAACCTTGGTCTGTTATGCAACCCCTGTGTTCAAGTAAAATCTTACCAAGAAGCCAAATACGTGAAATGGGTGACAAGTAAAGCCCCTGGAGCTGCTTGGGATCCAACAGATGAGGAGGCTAACAGCCCTGTTCCGGTCCAACTCGCGCTGCTTTTCTTGTTAAATTGTAAAACTTGTTAAAGATGTTTTTATAAAAATGAGTATGTGTTTTAACAACTCGAATACAAAGTGAGCACCCCACTGTCACCCCCTGCATTGAGCCCTTTCTCTCTGCCTCCATCTCCCACCCTTCCCTTCCCTTCCCAGAGGCCACTACTATTCACACTTTGGTGTGAATCCTTTAACACATTTCCCTGTGCATTAAAAGCTGTGTACACAGTGGGATGGGGCAGGATTATATTATTTTGACATTTGATTTTAATTTAATACATCTTACAAATTTTTTCACATCAATACATACACATTTGCACTATGGTTTTTACTAGTCACATAGTACAAATCTACGGGAATTTCTTTAGCCATTACCCAACTATGAACATTTAAATGGTTCCTAGTCTTTGCAATTGCAGATAGTGCTACAATGTATTTCTTAGAAGAGGTTCCTAGAAGTGACATTTTTAGGTATCATGTCAAGTAGCCCTCCAAAAATGTATATTCTCACCAACTATGCATGAAAGGGGTGAGTTTTCCCCACACCCTCAAAAACATTGCATATTTTCAGTTATTGTGACCAAACTGATCAACAAACAATCAAGTTATTTTAATTTGCATGTCTTGATTACTAGTGAGGTATGAGCAACGTTTCATGTATATATTACCCAAATGCATGTGTTAGGCATCTAATTTTTCCCCTAATGAATAGCTCATCGCTACATGATTTTCTATTAAATGACCCAACCTTTCTTCATTAATTTGCAGTCTAACCTGTGTGTGTGTGTGTGTGTGTGTGTGTGTGTGTAATTCTGTTTCTGAAATTCTTTCTGTTCCCTTGATCACTTGTCCATTCCTGTGCCATGTGTTGTTGATTACCGTAGTTGTAATTATATGCTTTGATTGTTGTGGATTCCCCCATCGTTAGTCTCTCACAATTTCCTTGGCTCTTCCTGAGCATTTTTACTTTTTTAGATGCACTTGAATTTATCAAGTTATATCTTAAAAATCCTTTGGGATTTTTAATTTTCAGTTTAGGAAGATATCTTCGCAACATTGAGTCTTCCTATCCAAAGACTTAATATGTCCCTCCATTATTCTGGTCTTTTATATCTTTCAGTGAAGTTTTATCATTTTAGTTGTATAAATCTTACATATTTTGTGCCAGGCTTATTGCTTGGTATTTTAGTTTGTTTAATTTTGAATGGGATCTTTTTTGTTGTTACATTTTCTAGTAGATGTATTGTTTGTATGTAATAATGCTTTTAATTTCTTTCTTGTATCCAGTCACCTTACAGAACTCTTTTTAATAGTTCTTCTAATAGCTTTTCACTTGATTGACTTTGATTTTCTAAATAGGCACTCATGACATCCACATATGAGTTTTTCTCTTTGCCGATATATAGGCCTCTTAATTCTTACTCTTTTGCTATTGCATTGGTTAGGACTTCCAGGAATGTTATGATAATGGCACTCATTCCTTGCTTGTCATTTTTCAGCAAAAGCTTAGAAGCATTTCTATTAAATTTTATTGTAGCTTGCATTAAAATTAAAGATATTACTTTTCTTACCTAGAATCTTTTTGTTCTTATTTAATCTAATAAAGTACTAAATTACTTTAAAAATTTCAAATTATTCAACCATCTCTGCATTTAATCATTAAATCCTGCTTTATCATAATGTATTATTTTAGTTCACTATGAGATTGCACTTGATAAGTTTACTCTGTTTTGCTTATGTTTGTTTTTGTGCACCTTGCCTGGTTTTAGTATCAGAGTAGACTCTTCTGACAGAATGCTTTGGAAAGTCTTCCATTTTTTTTCTGTGTCCTAAATAATATTAGCACTTATCTGTTCATTAAACCCTTGGTAGAACTCCAAGGAAAATTGGGCCTGATACCTTTTAAGCAAGATATTTTGATGGTAGCAGTTTCTTAAAGTATCTTTTTATTCAGGTTTTTTAATGCCTTCATTATTTTTTTTAATAATTTATAATTCCCTGAAAATTATCTACATTCACTTAGATTTTGGTTTATGGATATAAAATTAGTACATTATCTTGTGATATTTGCTCTCATTCTTTAACTTTTCATTTTTTAATAGTTTCTGTCATAAAAAGGTTCAAAAACTAGCACAAAAAAATTTTGTACCCATTTCACTCATCTTCCCAAATGTTAATATCTTATCTCAGGCTGCTCAGAAGTGGCCCCCGGTGAATTCTGGAGGAAATAGCAGAGGGATCTAAGAGGCAACATGAAATGCTCCCCAAGCGCTCACCTGCCAGGGTCACAGCCTAACCAGGCAGAGGCAAGACTCAGCCACGCCAATGCTTCCCAAACTTCAGGCTGCTGTCTCCTACCATCATAATGTTGCCACGTCTGTGCCAATATGTACTGTTAGTTTTTTAACTCAGTTGATTTTTGAAAACTTAAAATTTATTTGAAAAAGAATTTCAAATAGTGCCATAAGTGAAAAATCACTATCCGTTTTAATATTTGTATATTAATATAAAAATGTTAATCCATTGACTACCTGAAAGAATGCTACATACCACACTTTAAGAAACATTGGAATGGATGGTGAAAGATAAAGATGATAAAGACCTATATTGTCCCCTCAAGGAGCTAGGAAGTGTGACATGGTATACTGTGTACCATGAAAAGGTTGCCCCGGGCCGGCTCCGTGGCTTAGCGGTTGAGTGCGCGCGCTCTGATGCTGGCGACCCGGGTTCGGCTCCCGGGCGCGCCCCGAGGCACCACTTCTCCGTCCAACGCGAGGCGAGTCCCACGTACAGCAACTAGAGGGATGTGAACCTATGACATGCAACTGTCTACTGGGGCTTTGGGGGGAAAAAAATGAATAAATAAAATCTAAAAAAAAAAAAAAAAAGAAAAGGTTGCCCTTTAAACAGTGTGATGAGGAGGAGATACAGGAGTAGGAAGTTTCCAGGTTAACAAATTGGGACAAGGAACATTCCAAGAAAGGAAACAACGTTTAGAAGACACAAAGGCAAAAGAATGCTAAGTCTATAAAACGTCAGACAAGCGGAGCGTCCTGTGCCATGCTAAGGAGTGCCAGCTGCATCCTGAACATGGTGGGAGCCTTTCACCAGCACAGGAAGTGAAATCTCTCGGAGGGTCTGCCAGCTACTGCAATTTCCAAGTAGTGATACCTGTAAATGGTATGTCAAGAAAGCTGCAGCAACTAGAAAATTACCTGGAAACATCTAAATTTCTTTTGGTGGCAGAGCACAGGTACTGCTAGAAGCTTGTTTTTGTTTTATGTTGGCCATGCACATTCACAGACTGCCTGAATTCTGTCCATGATCCCCATAGTGGCCCACAGACTCCAGGTGAAGAGCCCCCCTTAGAGAGAGCCCTCTAACTCAAGCATTAGGCCTGACCAGAAGTGAGAGGCTGGGAGGAAGCCCTCATCCACGATCAGTGATGTGTGTGCAGCAGGGAGGACTGGGGGGGCGGGGGGCTAGATCTGAGAGAGGTTTAGGAGGCAGAGCTCGCAGGAGAGAGAGGCAAGTTAGTGTCAGCCCCACGTGCAGTTCCTTACTCTTCCCAATAGACGCTGAGTTCCTGGAGACCCCGTAAGACAAAACTCTTTTCTTCAAGAGAAGAGTGGGTGAAGTCTCCAGCTTTGAATGGGGAAGGCATTCTGTAATTAAGCAAGATGCCTAGTGGAAATACTGAAGAATATTAATGAGAACCATCTAGATCAGCATTGTCCAACAGAAATACCATATG